AGGAGTCATGCATAGAAATTAGAACTTTCGGGTGAATATAGGGGAGAGTGGGATGATGGAAGGTACAGCCCAACGAAAAAAAAGAAAAGGGTCTACAGAGAAGTGCCCTGTTGGGTCCTCAGACGGACATAGTGATCAGTCAGAAGGAAGTAGGACCAACATGACCAGAGCTTCCAAAAACTGCCTATCCAATTTAGTAAACAGTAATTCCTCCATTTCATAGACGTGGGCGACTTGAGCCAGCCACTGCACAATCGAATATTCCGCTTTCCAATGGCAAGATATGATCGTGCGTCTATATAAAGATTTGCTAGGGCTCAAAGCCAGATCAGCTCGCCAGTGTAAGAGATACATTTCCGGGAGAAACTGCATAGTAGAGCTCGTGATATGCTGTATAATCTGGCCTACCATTTAGTTGCCATGTTTATTGTTCTTGCGTGATTACCGCAGTCAGAGTTTTCCCCCGCACATAATTATTAGAATGACTGAACTGCAAATGGTGCTGACAACAAGAAACAAGTTCCTTACGAGGCTCTACTAAACTCTGATGATAATGCAGACGAACATCATCGTCTGATCATTGCTGAACAGAGTATCCATCCAACATGTAGGATTATTGACTGGTGAGCGCCGGTGATGGCCGCCAGTGCTATCAAATCTTCGGACTCCTTCCAGCACAAACAGCAGGAGGTCACGCAACTGTGCAGTTTCTTTTTTTCCCGGCATTCCTAATGTGATAAATAATTCCTTAACATCTAAAGACACGTTAGCGGCACAAAGATAATGTAACATCAACTCTCTGTTCATATAATTAATCTACCGGAAGACAAAAGCGGGAAGTGTCTACACGGGGATGAAATGAATTATCCATTGCAAAAAATAAAAAGGATCAGAAAGATATTTAGCTTAGCCTTGTATGTGATGATCAGGCTACATGTCTGCATGGTTTGTTTAGCTGGAGCAGTTGGAGTTATGACTTATGATACATATAAAATACGGGGGAACCTAAAAGAGACCCTGTTGTGAAACCATTTTAACAAAAAATCTTCCCATAAGATTATATGGTCATTTAATATATTTTATGCAAAGTTATTTACCTGTATAAGGTCTAGGTCAGTGGTGGCGAACCTTGGCACTCCAGCTGTGCCAAAACTACAAATCCCAACATGCATCTGCCTCTGGGAGTTATCTCTGTGGCTGTCAGAGCCTTGCAATGCCTCATGGGACTTGTAGTTCCAAAACAGCTGGAGTGCCAAGGTTCGCCACCACTGGTCTAGGTGCTGAAAAGCCCCTGGACTGCTGCTGGGTGCCGCCATCATGAATATGATATCAGCAGCCACAGCAGACTCAGAGCTGTCACTCAAGTGGCACTCTATAGCAGGAGTAGGCAAACTCTGGCCCGCCAGCTGTGGTGAAATGAGAAATCATTCATCTGCCTCTGGGAGACATGCCTGTGGCTGTCAGAGTCTTGCAATGACCTAATGGGATATATAGTTGCACCACACCTGGGAGCCGAGGTTTGCCTGTCAATTCCCTATTGTATCCCCCTTCGCTCCTCCACCCAGGGCCGTCCCTACATACCGTCCTTCTACCCAATAGAAGGGGCAGCAGTGGATAGGGCGCTCGTGTCATCAGGACGGGAGGTGGCAGCCGGTGAGCTGACAGGCATGCGGAAGGCCAAGCTGACAGCTGTGCGGGAGGTGGCGGGTGGCCTAGTCACCTGTGCTGCGCCCCCCAGTGAGATGCTACCTGGGGCTACCGCATCAGGCTTCCTCATTGTAGCCCCGACTCTGCCTTGACCAGCAGCTACATAAACGGTAATGCTGGCTGGTGAGGGGTAGAGGATCTGGGCCAGCACAGACAGTAATTAGACACTCCTAGAAGAGAAAATAGGAGGAAGGGAGGGGGCTGTGCTAGGAAATTGAATCTTCCTGAAGAAGTCCTATTTCCTGGCAAGTAAAAATTTTGGCAGGGAAAAACAGCACAATTAAGCAGTGTAATTGTACCTGCAATTTTGTAAATCTATGACGGGGTCTTTGACTAGCTGTCAGAATCCTAATTCAAAATAAGCATATGATAAAAAAAATAAATAAACAAGATGCCTTATAGTGGAATTTTACTTGCTCGCAGGAAGGCTGTTTATCGCAGAAGAGACCCAACATGTCTCTACAGCAATAAATACTTCTTACCTTCCCGCTAGCAAACTTCTTTCAAGTGTACATGGAGCTCGGCATGCGTAAGCCATCACACTATCTGTACACAGACCCTTTAATATGATCCATAAATAACACAATAACAGCATCTATAAAAGGAAAAAAAAAAAGGCCTGCAATCTATTAATCTAAAAAAAGTGGATAAAGAATGACACGGGACACGGCGCTGCAATATCGAGTTCCTTAATCCTAAAACTCTCTGCTCTGGGCCTGCGTCACGGTTCGCTGCCGCGACAAAAGTCTTGCGGAGAACTTTTTCTGAAAAAACGATCCCTTTGGAAGTAGAAATTCAGAACGTGCAATTCCGCATATGGAGGAGACATTAGCTGTGGACAAGGATTACAATTAAATTATGAAAATGTACTCGAGGCTTCATATGGCTTGATTTAAAAGGCACTTGTGGTTTGGGAATGATTGAAGACAGCTACACCGAGAGATTTTTTTTTCCCCTTTTTTTTTGGCGGGGAAGGAATGGTTTATGGTGCATTAAATACATCTTTTTGTATGTTAATGTGAGCGCTCCTGGCATTTTGTGAAGACCGACCGAAAACCTGTGAAATAAACCTTACTGGATCAGATCTATTCCCTACAACATATAGAGAGGTAAACAGGCGAAAAAAAATGATTTTTGTACTCATCAAAATATTATTTTCTTGGAGTGCATTATTGGACCCAGGAAGTCATTACCTTTGGGTTATACTGCCTTCTAAAAGGATTATTGGACAGTGGCAAATCAAAAAAATTGTAGGCCAACCCAGGATAAACCCTTTAATTCCCAGCATGCCTCAGTTAGTAGCATGCAGTAAGAAGGGGTGGCACCTATATACCTCAATAGACTCCAAAAGAAGGACTGTACAGTAAGTACAAAAATCCTATTTTCTTTCTCGTCCATTGCATTGAGGGACACAAGAAGTTCTTAACTGTTGGGACATCCAAAAGTAGTCCAACTGAGGTGGGCATACAGCAAACAACCTGTAAAACACAATATAAACCAGAACTGGGGATTTCCTAAAACTTCAAAGCCACCTGAAGGATCTCTTACTGAATCTGAAACAGGATGAGGCCAACCCTACCTGCCTAGTGAGTGTAACTGGATAAAAAGACCTGGAGAAGAAGATGGAGAACCAGCCTGATGTCCAAAGACCAAGAAAATGGTCACAACCTAGAAAAAGAATAACTCAACATAAAAGACACCACCAAACCATGGACCACAGGCATGAAGCTACTCAACCCAATTCAAGCAGACGAGAAGACAAAAAGAAACAAAGAAAAAAGGCAAGCAAAAAACAGACATCTTCCAACAGAGCTGAAGAAAAGATGTCCATCCTCTAACGACAGTAGCAAAAAAACGGAAACATGCTGGGAATAGGAGAGTTTATCCTGGGCTGGCCTACAGATGCTTTGTTTTCCGGTGTCCAACCTCCCTGTAGGCAGCAGCATAACCATACAGCTAATGGCTTCCTGTGTCCCTCAAGAAACCAGAGAGCTATAGCAGTTATGTGACTTGTGTACAGGAGCATGGTTACGGATTTTCCAGGATAGTCCCATATCTTGGACCTCTGATGTCCCGTATCTGTCCCAATAATGCTTTGTCTTGGGCTGCTTCGCAGTATCACAGCATGGCCCTTATTTGAGTTACTGAGCATACACAGTTACCTCAAAAATGGTATCAACTGAGGGAATTGGGGCCAGTAGTGGGCAGTTCCCACCTATTTAAGAGTGAGACCATGCCAAAAGTGGCCAGGGTCTGAGTGTGACTGACTGGAAAGTAGAAGTGTAGACTGTGGAAGGGGGGTGATATTGTCTCGGGGACTGGAACTAATATGTCGGTAGGTAAGTAGTACTGATCAAACACATGCTTTCCAAACGTTTACACATCTCAACAGGACCTGATGCAGTCAAGGAAATGCAAAACAGGTCAACACAACTTTAGAACCGTCACCCACACTGCATCATTGTGTATATATGAATCCACTAACCTGGGTGCCAAGTGGGCTTCAAACACTCATCAATCACAGGAAGAAAACACCCATCTACACAAGTCCATAAGAAGCCACCAGGTGCTGTAGCCCCTCAGAGAGTACCCATAACGGAAATATCAGCCTTGGGTGGAGATATAGAGGCTTTCTAGAAATTGGTAAAATGGGCAGTTATAGCTCTGGAATTCGAGAGACCGTCATTACCTCTAGGATTGTTGAGCGAAGCCTCCGTGGCTTTCCCGCCATCTCCGCAGCGCGTGTCATCGAACGGAAGGCACTGGTCTCCTGTCCCAGCCACCACTTCCGAATTCTTCACCACATCCTTCACCACTGTGGTAGACTTGACTCTGTAGACTCGGCGACTGTTGGTGTCAGAGAGCAGGATGGCGCCGGTGACTGGGTCCGTGGCCAGGTAATACTTGTGTGCCGGGCTGTGGCTGCAATAAGTGGAAGGAATATGTCATGATGGAGACACAAAGATACAACAGAGGACTCTGACCTCACTATTTTCTATCCGCCTTCTTAGAGAACAACTCAAAGCAAACATAGAAAAGCATTTAAGTTCTTTTTTTTTTTAAATAAACTACAAAATAATTTTTAAAAGCTAGACAGTGTAAATGACCTAAACATGTCTTAATACTGAGTTACCGCATGAAGGCTGAAAGGCTAAATAAGGCTTGAGATGGAAGTTTCAGAACATTTTTGAGATGGTGGGCGTCACCAGTGTGCCAACATCGACCTTGTGTTCCTAGGTACATGACTTTCTGACATGTCCAAGGAATATGTCTATCTTTTAAAGGAAATTTACAGGAACACTTTTAAACTCGCATTAAAAACAGATTGGAAAGTTCTCTTGGGGGATCTAAACTATTTGCCCTGAGGCAATGATAAACAAAATGTTTTGATTGTCCCAGGATCAGGAGGTGAAGGGCAGGGCCGGATTTACTCTCTCTGCTGCCCCAAGGCCAGGTTCCTCTCTACGCCTCCAGGTATGCAGGCCGCATACAAGTAATTTCGGCGACATGGCGGAGATCACTTGTACAAAACAAGCGGCGGCTTCCCCGCTGTACATTTAGCCCTGCTTGCCCAAATGTAGAAAACAACTACCCGCCCGGCATCCAGAATGGCATGTCCTGGGCATCAAGAGATAGGAATTCCACACCCCTGCTGCCCCTCTACTCCCTGCTGCCCCGAGGCCGGGCCTCGGTTGGCCTTGTGGGAAATCCGGCCCTGGTGAAGGGGACTTCCAATTGGGACACCAGAATTTACCTTAATTTTGGAGAGATTGCCATTAAATTCCTGTTGCGTCTGTGGAGACAGGAAGTCCAGGGAAATCTCCTCAAAGTGGATGCAGACAGGGGTTCCAACCTTTCCCTTCCTATCCAAAGCTAAAATGTAAGCATTGGCTGGACTTTAAATTTAAAAACAACACTATTGCAACCAGTTCTAATGATCTTCTAACGGTTGTGCGTCAGGCAAAAGGACAGGATGATGTCTGAACGCAAATAATTCTAAGGCTAAACAAGCTGCTGCAACTCGATTTAACAAGACAGCTGGAATGGAGCAATTAAACTGATATACAAGACCACAACAGGACCTCCCGGAGACTAAACAGGATCACGCAGAGTTTTATTGTACATGAACTAGACTTCGGAGCGTTCGAAAGATTTCACTTCTGAAACTAGGTGAACTTGATAAATCCCACAACAGTATTTAAACAACTTCCTGAGCACACCAACACAAATGGAGTTCAGCGAGGGTTGAAACCACACAGGCTGCGTTCTGGGGACACTTAAATACTCTTGTTCCAAAGCAGGGCTTTTCATACCGCTGTGTCCTAACCTTCTAAAGACCTCCGGTTGGGAATGGGAAATTGTTGCGCAAAGTGAATGTTATTTGCACTGTACGCTGGCAGATTTTAGCGTGAAGATGAGGCTTTTTAGGCTTACAAATGACCCTTCCTTGGTACGTTATTCATCTATCAATCTGATTCAAGTCGCGAATGTTCTAATCCATTTTATTAACGTAATGGCTTTTTTTTTTTTAAAGCAACATTATTCCAAAGAAACTTTTTAGAGCCTGCCTTTTGATGTTTGTTTTGATGCGTTCTACCAACATACTCTCGTCGTCTTTCTAATCGCTCTAATTCCTCCTAGAGAAGGCACCCCCTCCGTCCTCAGACTTTCCTGCATGTCATCATTTAAAGTGACATTAAACCCTCAGATTTTTTAGCATAAAACAATACTGTAATGTGTGCCTTACTGTAATCCATGGTAGTTTCCCTTCTCTTTGCTGCTCTTCCTTTTAAATCCGTATCTGTTCTCATGCTGGGCAGAACTTCTGTTTTGCAGCTGACTGCCTTGTCTCTGAAATGGATACATGGTGTCTGTGTGCAGGTTCACAACCTGAGCCAGCAAGACAGGAAGAGGCACTCAGCTGCAAAGGGAAGTTCTCCCCCAGCATGAGAAGACATGAGGATTTAAAAGGAAGAGCAGCAAAGAGAAGGGAAACAACCATGGATTACAGTAACTATGGATTACAGTAAGGCACACATTACAGTATTGGTTTATGTTAAAAAATCTGAGGGTTTAATGTCACTATAAAGTACATTCAAGTACCTTAAGTATTAATAAAAATTTATGTTATTTGTGTATCACTGGGCTGTAGATCCTCCAATCATCTCTGAATTGGTGCTGACGCTACCCTTCCTTCTGGAGGGGGGCTACTATTGTTCCCCATGGTCCCTGTGTGTGTTGTAAAGTAGTCACCACTCCAAGCTTGCTCCTGTGATGGACTACAATCTTAATACAAATTAGTAGATGTGTACCGAAATGAAATTTTGAGACCGAAACCGAGATTTTTATTTTTTAGTTTATTTTTATTAAATATTTTAATTTTTTTACTTTACTGCTGGGGGCTTCCGTTAAATATCAGGGGTCTAAACGGACCCCTGATATTTCCCTTTTACAATAGAAAAAGAGATTGAGGACTGCAGCCCCAGCGCTGAATTAACAGGAATCCTCTATACTGAGTGTATCCTCCATCCTGTACAACCACCTCACACCACGCTGTGCCCGTGAACGTAATGAAATGTCCATTGTGGCATTTCAATAAAGTTCTAAAAAACAAAAAGGCAAGTGGTGTGATGCAGGGCAACGCGCAGCTGCAGCTTTGTGTTGTAGCGCAGCTGCTGGTTTGAATGGGCCCTTAAACTTTATTTTTAACATCACGTAATCTAGATATTTTTTAAAACTTTATTTATAACATCTCTTACATAATCAAGGATGTTTTTAAACTTTATGTGTAACATGTCTTCCATAATCTAGATATTTTTCAAATTTATTTTTAACATCTCTCACATAATAAAGATGAATAAAAAAAACCCCAAGAAGATAAAGAAACCGTAGGAAAGACAAAGAAAAGGTAATTACTAGGGCTGGTAATGATTAAAATTTTCGTGTTCGATTAATCAAAATTTTTTAAAATCGATTAATTATAACGCACATACAGATCCAACTACATCAGCCTATACACATACAGCACAGCAATGAAGTAATAAAATGAACTAGGATCACACTAATCCAGCACGTTATTAATCTCACGTGGCACACTCAATATGGCCGCCGCTTGAGTGTGGCAACTCAGAATAATAACATGCTGGATTAGTGTGATCCTAGTTCATTTTATGACTTCATTGCTGTGCTGTATGCGTATAGGCCGATGCCTTGGCTGGCGCTCATGCAGAAAGTTTTTCGGGCAAACTCACCGGCTCAAGTGGCTCCGTCGGCTAATGAAGGTGGGAGGAGTCCGGTGACATCATGGACATCGACATGACCAGACTCCTCCCCCTTCCCTTCGTTAGCCGTCACGGACATCGACCTCACCGGACTCCTCCCCACTTCCCTTCGTTAGCCGACGGAGCCACTTGGGGAAGGGGGAAGGAGTCCGGTGACGTCGATGTGCGTGTCGTCACTGGATCGCCGACGGGACTCCCGGAAGCCGGCGGAGAGGTGAGTGTTTTCATTAGCGATCAAAATAATTTTAATCGATTAAAAAGTTTAACGATTAATCGAGAAATGAATCTTTAATTTCCACAGCCCTAGTAATTACAATACCTTATCCCATCAGCTGAACATCTCTATATTTAGCCCTTTATTTAGTTCCGATATATAATATTACTTATTCAGGGAACCCTTCCACCCATCTTTTAAGTAATTCTTTAATCACAATTAATAAATTCCCATCCCTCTCCTGGTCACTGGGTAGGAACACAATCATTTTGAATGAACCTATCCTTGACAATGGGCAAAGGTTCAGAATCACCGTGTGACCAAGGCTGACTAGGAGGATCCATCGGTCTACTGGCCTAGTACACCACTAATCAAGACTGGTGGAATTCATCGCGGTGATTATCCAATGACAGAGAAATATTACACCCATCCATCAATATTTCTTAAATAAACGGCGGAGGAGCTAAGTATCCGTGAAAGACGCATTGTAATCGAGGGTTTAATATTTCAGCTCATTGCCATTTCACGGAGGTGGGGGAAAAAAGAAGAAGCGGCACCCTCATCAATCACGTCCTACGGTAGAAATCGCAGCGAGCCGGGCAATTAAGCAGCCGCCCTCCATCTTAAATTGGGGGGATTCCGACTATAAGTGGCCTGGGTGACGTGCCCGTCCCATCCTTCCTTCCACGCAGGACGCTTAAGCTGGCGACAAAGCTGGTTACGCCAAGACCTATACAAGGGAATCACAATCTCTGCTGATGATTAATTACATTACAGGGAATCTCACCAGCTTGGGTAGCATCATTTCCTTCTAAATGTGAACAGAACGCATGCTTTGAATTCTTACGCACCAAAATAAAACAACTTTAGCATATTTCTAGTTATTGCGTGTTTACCTTAAAATGTTTTTGTATTTTTTTTTTCAAATGTTTGCTATGGGGTTTTCCTAGACTTTTTTCAAGAGGAAAAGGGTGGTGGTGCACGTTACCGGGCCGGGGGATCATAGGAGGTGCATGTTACCTCTGGCTACGGCCGCTGTCCCGCCCAGCTCACTGACGCAGACAAGAGCATCCCATGTTGCTAAGAGCTCTTTGGGTCACATGGCAGGGTGGGTGGCAGTATGCCTGCCGCCCCTTTTCTGGCCAGGGCGTCACAGGTTGCTAAGATCTCTTTGGGTCACATGGCAGGGTGGGTGGCAGTATGCCTGCCACCCCCTTTCTGGCCAGGGCGTCACAGGTTGCTAAGATCTCTTTGGGTCACATGGCATGGTGGGTGGCAGTATGCCTGCCGCCCCTTTTCTGGCCAGGGCGTCACAGGTTGCTAAGATCTCTTTGGGTCACATGGCAGGGTGGGTGGCAGTATGCCTGCCACCCCCTTTCTGGCCAGGGCGTCACAGGTTGCTAAGAGCTCTTTGGGACATGCGGCAGTGTGGGTGGCAGTGTGCCAGCCACCCCCTTTCTGGCCAGGGCGTCACAGGTTGCTAAGATCTCTTTGGGACATGCGGCAGGGTGGGTGGCAGTGTGCCGGCCGCCCCCTTTCTGGCCAGAGCGTCCCAGTTTTCTAGGAGCTCTTAGCAACCTGGGACGCTCTGCCCAGAAAGGAGATGGCAAGCACACGGCCACCCACCCTGCCACGTGACCCAAACAGATGCCACCTGGGGCAAGAGCCTCAGGCTGCCTCACTATATGGATGGCCCTGCTCTTCAATATTTTTCTTTTTGTATTAGAGATAGATGCTTGCATATGATCCACAAGAGGAAGATCTGTAGTCGACCTGGCCTCATTCAACCTCCATTTCCGAACAGCTGCTGAGATAACAGCCACACAGGGAGTGCATGGTTTTCAATTATCCAGCTGACTCAATGGAGTTGATTTACTAAAGGAATAGGAGGCATTCAATATGGAAAGTAAACGTTCACCTTGCAGAATGAATGTCAGTAAATAGGGTAAAGACGTGTTCAATTAACTACTAGCAAAAATAATATTTTTTCTAATTTCCCTTGCACATAATTGGGTATTTAAAGGGCACCCAGGTTCACCTTATTCACTAACATTCACTATGTGAGTAGTTGAACAACCTGTTCTGTATTAGTAAATCAACCCCATAAGCTTGTGTTGTGAGAGGAAGTAGTAGTAATGAATAAGTATTGAGTATTCAATAAGAAAAAATGTCTGCCTCCATGTACATGAATCATAACAATCAACCACCAAAACAAAGCTTTATTTAAACATTAAAAGTGATTCTGTAATGAATCTAAAACAGCAAATTCACATATGTTTGGAAAGGAGGAGGTAGATATTTCCCACTTCTGCTGCCAACACCATTCTGCTGATGAGGAACTTCCCCTGAAATCTGCTGGAAAACAGACACCCCCCCACAGCGCTGGTTCCTCCCACTGACCCCTAGGCAGGACCGGTGCTACCACTAGGCAAACTATGCAGCTGCCTAGGGCACACTGCTGCATAGCCTCGACCACTCCCCCCCTCGGCACCCCCGATCTATTTCAAATTGCAAAAGCAGGCTGGCTATTGCACCTGACCACTAAGAAGAGGAGCGGAGAGACAACTCTCTCTCAGGTTCGCTCCTCTGCTCAGTGGGTGGGGTTTTAATAGCCAGTCTGCTATTGGCTATTTCAAATTAAATTTCATCCACTTCTCACCTGTGGAAGCTAGCCGGCAGGAGAATGGGGCCGCGCACAGGGAGGGAGCCGCAAGTAGCTGGTCTTGCTTAGGGCGCAAAATAGTCTTGCACCGACCCTTCCCCATGGTCTCTACAGGTCCCAGCAGTGATGTGGGGTCAGTGGGAGGAACCAATGAGCACTGGGGAGGAGGGACACAACACTCCCGGAAGTGTTGGTTTCTCAGCAGACTTCGGCGGGCGATTTCTCATCAACAAAGTGGCATTTGGGGTTGCAGGCAGCAGGAGGTATTTACCTTCTTTTTGGGTAACACGTTATAATTTGCAGCCGTGTTGCTTTATCACAAATTAACAGAGATACACAGAGCCATGCAAGCGCTGCAAATACTGGAGAAAGCAGTAAAGCAACCATGCCGGTCTGGGGTGCCACAATAGCATTGCCAACATAAACGCATATAAACTACAATATAAATGCATTACTTCCATATAAAAGCATCCAAACCATAGGTACTCTGCAATCTCTAATGAAGGGACCCCCTCCCAAATGAAAATGGTAGCTGCAGACCATGCCATTTTTTCAAGACTGTGAATGGCGTGACGGAGCTCAGAGCAAATGTTATATTTGTGCCAAGTGAGAGGTACGTTTTTTTGGTCAAAATATAATTTTTATTTGGTAATGGTGATATTTGCCCAACTGATTCATGCGAAGTGTGAGTTTGAACGACAGGTCCACTTTAAAGTTGAACATTAGTTGAAAATGGTTTCAGCTAGCTTAATTTTCTCATAGGACAAGCCTATATAGAACATATATCCTCCAATTCATGTATGTGTTCCTTCAATGTTATGAAATCATTGCCCCATTTTAAAGTTTGTGATTACCTGAAGTTTGGATACTAAGCGGCCACACACCAGCTGAAAGCCGAGATCAAGCCATAGTTCTATAACCTCAAGGAGGTACGGAGGTAGGGAATCTTCAGACTACTTCCTTCACATGTTTTAGCTGAATGTTCGGCTGTTGGGCCTGTGTCCACGGGCTTGTGTCAGATAGGTTTTGCATTCCAATGCAAGTGTATGGGAATGCAAAACCCACTTGAAGGAGGTCAGCTGCAGCTCAAATGCACCGGTTGATGAATTCTGAATGATCTTAGAAGAGTTATCGTCAACCAACTTCTCTCACATGTTTCAGCTGAATGTTTGGCTGTTGGGAAGGAGTTAGGGCCGGTTGTCCATAGGCTTGTGTCAGATGGGTTTTGCATTCCAATGCAAGTCTATGGGAATGCAAAACCCACTGGAAGAAAATAAGAAGGAGGCCAGCTGCAGGTCAAATGCACCTGTTGATGAATTCTGAATGATCTTAGAGGAGTCTCAAACTGACAGCAAACTGATGCCATCGACACAAGCCCAACATCCATCCCCACAGACTTTTGCTCTTTAAAAGTTAATACTATGGGGTTAACTTACATAAGTTCCAAATGCCAGTCACACAGCACTACCGCCCGTAGATGGTGCTAAGAATTTCATATACTCAAGAGTGCCATCCAGGGGCACTAGTGCCATGTGAATGGTGTTTGCCCAGTTATATGCGCAACTTTAATTTAATGAACCCATAAGCTTTACAAAAGCAAGCAATGAATAGGCCACCAATTGATCAGACAGCATAAGCCTTACTTAGCGCCACAAACACAGGAAGCTGCAGGACAATACCGAGAAGACAGGTTCTCTTACCTATGTCTGAAATCTTTATTTCTGAGAGATGGCAAGACAAAGAAGAGAAAACAAGATGTTAGTAACAGACGGGAAGAAGAGAGTTATACGAGAGCAGTTAGTGACCTTCTAGAAAAGAGAGGAGACCTCATGTCTGTGCTGCCCTAAGCAGGAAACCAGCTTCTCCTTTCTGAGTAGCCAAAGCCAGTTAGATAACCGAAAGGAGCAAGTAAACCATTCATGTTGCTGAAACACAGGGCCTATTGTACTAAACACAAGGATGGGATATAGTGCTGAAACAGTGGGTCTGACAGTGTGCCACATTGAATGCCAACTTTGATAATATGGAAAGGGCATGCTATGGTAAATGTGAAGACAACATTACTACATTGTAAATGTGAGAAAGCCATGATGGTACCTCAAATACTGACACAACATAAAAAGAGGCAACAATGTGGATGTACCAAGTCTGCAGTTCCACAGTGGGGTGCAATGGCAGTACCACAAATGTGGAGGCACCATGGCAATGCCATTACTGTACTGCCAATGAAGAGGGTACCAATTCTGGCAATACCAGCAACTAGGGGGCACCATGGCAGCACTGCTAAGACTGGGTGCCATTAAAGAACTTCCAAAAAGGCACATTCATTCTCACAATAAAAACATGAAGTCTCCTTGATAGTACTTCCTATGTAAGGGAGCCATGATGGTACGGGCAATATGGAAGGGCCATGACAGTACAGCCAAGGCTAAGGTAACATGAGAGTGCTGCAAAAGGGAGGATGCCAAGTTGATTGTACCATGGCAGTACTTTAAGTGAGGAGGCCTCATGACCGTACAGGCAAGGTGAGGGTCTTATGACAATGCTTACAATGGTGGAGAGGACTAATGACAATGTGCCATAATGGTACAGCCAGGTTGAGGGTACTATGGCAGTAATGAAAATGGGAGGAAGCCATGATGGTAATGCCAAGCTAACTGTACCATGGACAGTATTGTCAATGTGGAGGTTTCATGACAGTATGGTAAAGGCATGAAAATGTCAGGTATCAGGACATTACAAATGACTATAAAAGACAAGCAAGTGAGGAAAGAGTAATGAGGGGAGCTTTAAAATGTATATGAGAAAGGTTTTCTGTGGTGGCCATAAAACAATAACTTTGTATCTTTCTGCCATATGGAAACACAAATCTGATTGGTTAAGAAGGCCTCAGTAATAATGCTACTAATACTCAGTAATAATGATACAAATACTCAGTAATAATGATTGTGTAAATTATCATTCTGTCCCGAGTGTGGCTTTAAGTGATGTTAGGAGGGGTGGAAAGGACAAGTAAACTAAGGCGTGCCCAGCGTAAGTCCATAAGCGGACATCGAGGGTCAGGCTCTCTGGTACAAGCAAAGCCCAATGGTTTTCTGCAAAGCTCTCATAAAATACGAATTCTTTCAAATAAAGTGCAGAAATGGAAGTAAAATGACAAATTACAAAGTAACATCCATGTTTATAAACTGCACCAGTCTGAATGATACACATTATAAAGGAATGTCCAAGGTGGCAGCCATGAATCTGCTGATCAGCGCAACTAGAAGAGTACATCGTCCTGTCTTTATTATTTAACACACAGATTTCCAGACGACGTAACTTGCGAACGGAATAAAAAAAGCAAACGTTTGCTCTGCGGTTACCTTAACTCTAGGACGTTTGTGACATTGCCGGAGGGAAAGATTCTTCGGATATAGTTGAAATCGCCGACATACAGACTGCCATCTGCGCCGCACGTCAAGGCAACCGGCGCCAGGAGTTTGTTGCCATCTGCGAGGCCATTGCAGCTCGGACAGGAGATGCTCCTGCGTCGCCCATTACCCATTATGCTGCCGATCACAGCTGGCTGCTGGGAAATGAACTGGTTTTCTCCGTTGCCTTTGTGCAGGATGCCTGTGTAAGACATTGAAAGTGAAATGAGTCTCGGAAACTTTCCGGACCCTCGGAGGGAAAACAGTCTTTTTAGAGAGGAATATATACTGCTGTTTGTATCTTTTATTTATATTTTTCTTTGCTTTTGGTCTATATAAATATACTGCATATTATTTTGTATTCTTCTATCCAGCCAGCAGGTGGGGCTTTATGATGGTTTTTATACGTTTTGTTTATTTAGCACTTTTGTTTTTACAGACCTCAATAGATCAAGCTAAAAATTACGTATACAAAGGTATGGGCATATAAATATACACACACACACCTTGGGTCCTGCCATTCATATGGATGTTACTTTGACAAGTACCACCTACTTAAACATTGCTGCTGACATTCCAAGTACACCCCTTCATGGAAACAGTATTCTCTGATGGCAGTGGCCTCTTTAAGCAGGATCATGAACAATGCCACACTGCATGAATAGTTTGAGAAACACAACAACAAGCTCCAGGTGATGGCTTGGCCTCCAAATTCTCCAGATCTCAATGTGCTGGAAAAACAAGTCTGATCACTGGGGGCCGATCACCTCACAACATACAGGACTTAAAGGACCCGCTGCTGATGCTCTGGCTTGGTGCCAGATACCACAGCATACCTTCAGAGGTCTAGTGGACTCCATGTCTCAATGAGTCAGGGCTGTTTTCGCAGCAAAAGGGGGAACTACTCAATATTAGGTAGGTGGTCATAATGTTATGACTCATCAGTGTATATCTTACATATATGTATATAAAGCCAAAAATGTTTGGGGATAGCATTGGGTGGATATTTTCAGATGGCAAGGGGATAGGTTAAAACCCCCAGTTATATCTTCAGTGCTGCCTATGTCCCCAATGGTTGGATTCACCCTCTCTATTTATCCCAGTGAACATTGACACCAGAACCAAAAGTGGTTGGAAATCCAAAATGTTGGGTTATCCTTGGAATGGAAAAAGAAGGTAAATCTTACAATGGAGACAACTGTTCCAGTGACAACTATCTAAGAGGGGATTTCCCTCACTTACTGTTGCATCTATGGGACAGGAAGTGACATGTTTTAACCATTCCTTACTCTTTTCATAATAAAAAAGGGTTTAGCCTTAGACACACTTTAGAGGTTATGTAAATTGGCATATCCAGCACGCTGAACATTTCGCAAGCAAGACCCTTGCTCTCAATCGAGAGATTGCTAGGATCATTTGTGTTCTGCCAGCTCAAATTTCTATTTCTTGACAAAGTTGTATGTAGACACAAGGATCTCTGCATACAGAGTTATATCAAAGAACGTATCATTGGAATCCATTTATATGTGTATGCTCTCCAGCCTAGTTCACCAATGCAAAAATAGGTAAAGGGCCTGTGCATGTAAAGGAAGCATCCTGTCTCCCCTCACCTCTCAGTACATTTCTTATGCACATTAATAAAGACGCTGGATTGTCCAATCAAGACAAGCAACATAGCACCCATGATATTTATCACAATGGTGCGTTTTCTCTTTACAATATTATATTCAACATAACTCACCAGTCTGTATATTGAGCGCGTGATGCTTATCCAGGGACCATCCTCCGAGCTTGGACGCCTCAATTTCATAACCCTGCAGAATGGCGGTTCTTTTCTCCCACAAAATGAGATCAGGACATGATTCATATTCATAACCTACAGAGACTGGAATTCAAAGAGAAAGAGGTCTGACCTATATATCCAGATAAGATATGGTCTCGAGAAGCGGCATTTTCACTGGCAGGTGCCAATCACGGCCAAAATACCATTATGTTAAAACAGCTCATAAACACCTTCAATTCCCTTCACAGAGGGTGATCTGAATACCAGCGGTCAATCTAATCAGTCACTGCTAACATGATTACTAGCATAATGGCTTTCGTAGAGAGAGGAACACCATAGAAATCAATCACACCCACTGCCGCAGGGTGAGAGGTATTATTTTTATGGTTAATAAAGACTGAAAGCTGGTTAAAAGGCCAACACTTCCTATACAGATTAAATAAATCCTTACTGTGCAGTTTTTAACATTTTGAAAGTTTGCAGTGTACTTTAAAGGACTTAAAGTGCTACTGTGGTCAGACAATAAGCATTAAACTATTAGATATTCTTATGCAGTTAATGAGCTTTAAAACAAGCCCCACTGACCTGTAGCTGCAGGCACTGTTGAGCAAATCATTCTCAATGCTCACGGCAGGAGCACTAAAGTCATTCTCTCAGAAGCTCAGTTTTCCACCTCCTAGAAGTGATTGAGCAGCTCAGCTCTCTTATCATAGCAGCAATTCTACAGCTCATCTTTCCCTGCTCCCCCATCATAGCAGTGATTCTACAACTCATCTTTCCCTGCTCCCCCATCATAGCAATGATTCTACAACTCATCTTTCCCTGCTCCCCCAACATAGAAGTGATTCTGCAACTCATCTTTCCCTGCTCCCCCATCATAGCAATGATTATACAGCTCGGCACTCCCTGCTCCCCCATCATAGCAGTGATTCCACAGCTCATCTTTCCCTGCTCCCCCATCATAGCAGTGATTCCACAGCTCATCTTTCCCTGCTCCCCCATCATAGCAGTGATTCCACAGCTCATCTTTCCCTGCTCCCCCATCATAGCAGTGATTCCACAGCTCATCTTTCCCTGCTCCCCCATCATAGCAGTGATTCCACAGCTCATCTTTCCCTGCTCCCCCATCATAGCAGTGATTCCACAGCTCATCTTTCCCTGCTCCCCCATCATAGCAGTGATTCCACAGCTCATCTTTCCCTGCTCCCCTCCCAGCAGTCATTCGGCAGCTTAGCTCCCCCTTTCAGAAGTGACTCAGCAGCTTAGCACTCCCTGCGCCCCTTCCCAACAGGGACTTCACATCATTCCAGTCTCTAATGTGAACACAGAACAGAAGCTCTCGGAATGAGCCGAACTGCTAAGAATGCCGACCTAAACATCTTGTTAAGAGACAGTAAGTATCTGAATGCCCATAGTCTGGCCACAGTTTCACTTTAACATTTCATGCTACAGTGCTGCACTAACTGGACTAGGCTTTCTGCCCTTCTTCATCTGAGAAGCTTCAAATCACTATCAGCTTCTACTTTTACCCACTCTTTGAAATGAATTAGCAGCCACATAATGCAGTGTTTTGGTTTACATGGTGACGGTGTTACGTGGTGGCGGTGGTGAAGGAAATGGACTTCAAACAGAAGAATGACTGGGTTTGTCTAAGGCTGGCCATACACTGAGTTTTTTTCTTGTTCAGCCGTGCAGGCATGGATGGTAGAATTCCCCTCCCCCTACCGGGCTATTGTATTCTGACAGCAGCAGGTGTGCCTCAAAATACCCGAACAGTGACTGCAGCTAATTGGCTGTTCAGCAGAGATGTTTCTGACCGGCCCTTTCGACAAAAGTTGATTGAGGGGGTTCAAACACTGGTCAGATTTTGGATGATTCCTGCTGACCACTCTATGGTCAGCTTAATGCTGACGAGAAAAGATAATCATTAATTTCCTCCCCAAGAGTTTGTCTTAGGTTTCATATACATTAGCTTCAGCAACCTTGTAAACACGAGGCTTCAATACAAAGCCAGATTTACACAATTGAAGCCTGTAGGCGTATACAGTATTTGTTAGGACCTTAAGTACATCTCTTGGCTAGGATCATCTTTTTACAACAGGTCCTAAACTGGATTAGAATATTGCAATAATGTGTATATAACTTTATAAGAGAGGTGTATAAATAGCGATAGTAACAAAAAATGCCCGACCAATAATTATACAGGCAGAAGACTGCTCTGCTTGTGTTGCCTGTAGGAATCGGTCTACTGTGCCCAATGCTAAAGCCAGGTCTGCAACAAGGCAGTATCAAATGCAGCAAGCATGTAAAGTGGGACTGTAGTCCTCCGCTTCCATTCAGGGCATCTATTAGATGATTTTGAAAGAATTTTGAATATTGGGTCATGATTTCCCAAGGACTCCCGGCTTCACACATTTTCCTATGCAGCTGAGGTCAACTTCGGGCAGCCTGAGTGTGCTGACAGTAGTTTGAACAAGCAAACAAGCTTTTAGCAGTCTTCAGCATTACTTAGAGCGCCCACTAATAGGCAGAACGTTTAAACAGAAGGCCAGACTTGCTTTAAAGAAGTGTCCTCTGGTTTGTAAACAGTACAACCATTAAAGCTTACCGAAAGCTTCAGACAGTCCGTAGACCTTCTGGCTGTAGACATCCGTCTTGTCCCAGATGAAGGAATAAGAGAGGTCGGGAGCGGCAGCAAACCACTTTCGGAACAGACGACCCTCCACAGCGACCATTAGGTGCACTTTCATCAGGTTGAAAGGAATAGTGTGATGCGTCAAGCTGATCCTCAGAACCGATTTGTAGCCAGCGTTTCGGGTGCTCAAGTAGTTCAGCTTAATTTTGCTTCCTGGGATTGGAATCTCTTCCTGCAAAGCCTGGAAAGCATAAGACATTTTGCTGAAACAATCAAAAATATTTGACTAAAATGGCCATTGGAATGTTCTTCTAGATTGGGGCTTCCATCGAGGCATGGTATAAGAGAAACGTCACCAGAACACCAACTTCCTTCAAGGATAATCAATCCCGGATTTGGCGTGCTGGTGACGTTTCTCTTTTACCATGTGCTACTTGCGGCGCCATCCACAATCTTTTCAAGCACCCTTCCCCGAATACGGGGCTTTCCGGTAAGGAGGGCAGCAAGTCTTCTTTATCATATATTCCATCAAGGCATGCCTACTCTCAGTTTATGCAATGCTATATATGTCCTAGGTTGGAAGCTCAGGTTTGAGTTAGGGACCACACTTTGTAGAGGTGCCTTGATGTGGAAGGGATGGTCTTCTAAGGGACACTCTCAATGTGCCCTGCATGGGTCTCTTTGAAAGGGACTCCTGCAATAATCTGATTTTCTTGAAGTGCTAGTCCTGTCATGCCAAAATTTTTCAGTAAAATACGTTTTTTTTCATTCCCTTATGTAAGGCACTGTCCCCTACCAGCATGCCATAGAAAAGGACCCTTGCCAACTGTGTGGAAGTAGTGGTCTCCCAGCAGAGGAACCAACAACGGCCCTGCTAAATCAGACACAGAGTTTTGCAACAAGCAAAGCTCATGATCTTTGCTGATTGGAGAGCTCTAGCTTCAGAGAGAGCAAGGGCCCTTCTCCGAGGCATGCTGTTAGGGGGACAGGCCTATCTACTCAGACTGTGGCTACATTCTAAAGCAAACATACGGTAAAACTTTGCACTGGGGATGCACCGATACTAGTATCATCCCACTGATTGGCTGGGAAGCCGGTTTCCCCGCCAATCAGCATCGGGCCGGCTGCACAGCCAGCTCGATGCTGATTGGCTGGGAAGTCGGCTTTCCAGCCAATTAGCATGGAGCTAGATTCCCAGCCAATCAGGAAGCCGGGAGATGGGTCATTACTCAATTTTTCCTGATTAGCCGGTGAAGCCGGCTCGATACTGATTGTTATTGGTCGGGAAACCGGCTTCCTAGCCAATCAAGCCGGCCAAACAACATGAAGCAGGCAATCAGGAAGCCGGGCTGCAGGTCATTACTCGCCGCCCAGCTTCCTGATTGCCCGGGAAGCCTGCTTCATGCCAGCGGAAGCACAGGTATTGGCGAGTACCGAAAGCAAAATATCGGTACTCATACTGCACCTTTTGTTTTAATGCATCTGGAATGTATTTAATTTAAACTGAAAGTTCAGTTGGACTCTAAACTAGAAACACAAATATCAGAAACCAACTATAAAACCTAATATGAAATCTTTTATTATTATATATACTTTTTTTTTTACAGCATTATCCATTTAAATCACAAATCCCAGGGAGCACAGCCAGAAAGCCTTTATTTATATTTATGTGGTCCCACCGGATCCTTTTGTGCATTAAGAGTTTCTTTGGTCTATTATTTTATTTTAACAGCCGTTCTCTTATCTTTGCATACCGTTTGAGCGCAGTTGTTACTAACTGCGCTTTACATACTTCAATTTTCCACTCTGCTTTGATTAACATGAGACTTTGCTGTGCTGAAGTGGATTGCGTGAGCCCAGCAAACAGATGACACAAGCGTAAGTACGGCCACAAAGTAAAATAAAAAACATACCAGGCAGGCAGAACCGTATAATTTGCCCCTCAAAGATCTCGTCTGCAAATGTATTCTTGCCGCGAGTGAACAATGATGGCAAACTTCAAACATAATGTGAACGTGTTTGAGTTTGCGGAGACTGTTCTGACGGAACCTCTGGGAAGGGGGAGGTAGGATGTTTTTTTGAACTCCGTACTTAATATGCATTTGTTTTTCTGAAGCCTGTAAGCTTTCTATTCACAACCAGATTTAGAGGCTTGAAGATGTTAAGCGTGGATTTATTTGTTTTGTGGGCAGGCCAAACAAGATGAATAAAACTGTTGAAGATGGCTATAATGTCATCTGCAAAGCCGTCCGGTGTTTGAGGCGCACAAACTGGCGCTTCAAGTGAACCTGTGCTTTCCAAATGTAGGTTCACTTAACCACCGACACACTTAGCTACACGTAGTCAGTACCCAGCGCTTCCTGACATGGGTGAGCATGTGACCCACTCTTCATCCTATAAGTACTTGTCCTTGTTGCACTCCTTACAGAAAGTCCCTTGTTATGGGGGGGGGTGCTCGCAGTGACTGCGGATAGCGCCGCAAATATCAGAAAATTGTAGAAATGTCACCAGCACACCAATACAGCAGCAAAAGCATTTATTGAAGTTCCTTGTCACATGAACAAGCGTTTTCAGGGCCACACAGTGTCCCTTCATGCTAAAGCCTGATGAAAGGACCCTGAGTGGCCCCGAAAATGATTGTTCACGTGACAAGGAACTTCAATAAATTAAGCTTTTGCTATTCTAAAAGGATTGGTGTGCTGGTGACATTTCTACAATTTCCAATCTTCATCCTCTCACATGATGGTGCTAGTGCTTGATAAATGGACAACCAAGGATGTTCCTTGGGGGTGGGGAAAGAGTCCTTATCGGTGTGTAAGCTCCAAGCTGTGATTTGGACTTTACACTGAGCTTCCTGTCTCTGCTACCAGCTACAGCAGTTACCTAAGGCTGGGTTCACACCTAGGCGTATTGAATATGCGCGTTTGTCGCGTGTTTTTACCGGTAAAAAAAACGCGCGACAACCGCCCGTTTCCGAGGGCTACTTGGCTGTATCCCAATGGAAACGCGAGACCAAAACGCCCCAAATAAGTACATGTACTTCTTTGGGCGTAGGCCGTTTTGTATCGCGATCGGACGGGCGCAAATACGGCAAGGTGTGAACCAGACCCATTGCATACAATGGGATTTAGATGTTTGAGCGTTTTGTGGAGCGTTCGTCGAGCGTTGAACGCGCTACAAAACGTTCAGGTGTGAACCAGGCCTAAAGTAAGAGATGTATGTACACGAGTGATACGCTCAGGTTTCAGGTTCAAATCTGAGCTCCTCCGAACAAGGAAATGCAATGAGCACTTTCACTCAATCAGCTGCAAGGAGGGCAATCCTCAACCCGCAGATGTATGTAAACAAAGGGGCGGGATTGCTTGTGCTGATATCATTTACTTTATATGACCATAATAGGTAAATGTTATTTCCTAAATATAGGCATGTAGCCACATAAGGTCAATGACATCCCAGCATCCTGCCCTTTTGCTCACGTCAAGGGAAATTCCAGGTTCGGAGGAGCTCATGTTTGGTAGGTGGAGGTCAGTTAAGTGAGCCTCTTACTTTTTCTTGCACTTGAAAAGCCCAGGTTCACTGAAGCAAAATTAAATACGCAAATTCTCATCTCTCTTCCATCGATGCGCCGACATCTTCATCTGGTCTTCTTTCAGGGTTCAGTATCTACAGCCACTTTGATTGGCCGGTGTAGGTGATGCAACGCCGCATACGTGCATCCCTGGTTTGTTAATACATAATAACATCTCACTTGACGGGCTACTGCCCATCACAGGCTCCAATGCTGCTGCCCACTGCAGACTCCGATGTTGCTGCCCGCCATGGACTCAAACACTGTTGCCCAATGCAGACTCTTGTCAGTGCCACAGTTGGGATGTCACCGAGGAAATAAGCATCGGTATAACCAACAGCCTAAAGACGGCTGCAGCTCACAAAATGGCTGCTTTTGCTCCACGCAGGTGACAAACTTAACTTTGAAGGAAGACAATCTGAGAGTGAGGCAACCTGGTTGTTTTCCCGAGGCTGTAAATAACACCGAGCATGTAAAGCACTCTTTAATTTTCTCCTCATTGAAGTCTTCCATCACCTTGACAGTCCCATTTATCCTCCGCTAAATGTAAACATTGTGCAAAAGGTTGGACGTCCTCGATTTGATCATTAAAGCTACTCTGCTTCACTTCACCGTTTTCCTGAGCTAATTAAACAAATGACTTCCATTAAGCAGGTGGCCCCACCTAGAACCATTTGTGGCATCCATCCGGGCAAAAGAAGCTTGGATAATAAAAGTGATTCTTTTTTACCCGTTGTATCCTGCTGTCATTTTGTCTGAGGCTACAAATCTGATATGTACGCCAAACTCACAATTTTCTTCACTTAGCTGGGTCTAATTAGGGGGGGATGTATACACCAGACAAACTTCTATTTTACTGCTGGTCACAATTTATGTACCAGTTCAGTCACTTAATCTGCTCCCTCAATTTCACACCATGCCTTCAAAGTCAAGAACAAGAACCCAAGCTATTGCAATGTAGTGGTTTGAACACACAGATAATTGTCCTGGGAGCAGATAAAGAGCCCACCATCTATAACCTAAGAACCTAACGCATCTCTTAGTGAGTTCTTTGTTTAATAAAGGACAAGTATGTAAATAGTCAACCCCATCCAGCCCTCCTAACCTAAATCCCCCCCTGCCCCCCAACCAATTGCTGATGGCATTGCCTTTGGTATGACAAGTGTGTCCTCCTCTGCTGCTGATCTCCCCCTATTTATTTATGACTGGTTGTGCTTATACAGCAACCCTCAGAGACTTGAATTGGGCCATACTCAAAGGCTCTAATTTTCGAGTGCAGCCCCAATGAAGTCTATGAAAGCTTACCGTGCAAACACGGCTTATACCATAGAAAATAAACGTTTCTAACTAAACGTGGACCTGTCCTTTTACTGAGAGAAATACATAGCTGTCGCTGCAGACTTCTCTCTGAAAATGTGAGTTGAGTGTCTCCAGCTTGAAGCCAATGAAGGGGACACAAATACAACATGTCACAAAAGCAGAGTGACTTAAAGCATTTAAGTCTCTGGATAAGCACGGAAGCCAGGCAACTACAATTTTTAGGCAAACAATGTCAGCCGACATACAGGAATCACTTTTTTGTCTGAAATAGTAAATTAATCTTTAAAAACAAGCTCCACGTTTCCAACGAAAAGTTTCAGCATCCACCCAAACCTGAAAACATGAATACTGCCCCATGATGGCATATCCGGGTGCAAATCTCAAGTGCTGTCAGTCAGCTACTCTGGTACCTAAAGACATAACTGAGGATTTTGGGCTTTGTCATGTGTTTGTTCAGAACCATGGAGGTCTAAGGATGCAGAACTTCTTGAGACCCAAACAGTGGTGGCGCCATCTGTACAGCCCGAGGACAGCGCCTTGCTTGGTGGGTAAATGAGACTGGCAATAGATTCTGGACAAATACCAGGAATTTGAAACATTATTTCCTGGGTATTATCAGTGGGCAAATTAGTGGGTGAATTGCCCACTGATTTGTTCAAAAGTCACATTAAAAGCATCCCCTGTAATAGGATTTTTATATTTGCTTAGATTTGTTTAGTCTATAAATGCATAAAGAGGTGCAGCTTTTCCTAATAAAACACCAAGAATGATCATGTGATTATGGTAAAACCAGGCCTTCCCACTTAGCAGATAGTAAGACTTACAGTAAAAAGAGATGCAGTTAATGACTATGGATGCACCGATACCGGTTTAGCGGTATCAGGTACGAGTACTGATATTTTGCTTTCGGTACTCGCCGATACAAAGTACCGATACGGATGCCTCCGCTGGCATTGAGCCAGCTTCCCGAGCAATCTGATTGCCCGCAAAGCTGGCTCTATTTTGTTTAGCTGGCTTGATTGTGCTTGTACCGGGAAAAATAGCTTCCCATCCAATCAACATCTAGCCGGCTACTCGGCCATTCAGGGAGCTGGGCGGCGAGTAATGACCTGGAAGCTGGCTCGATGGCGATCGCCTGGAAAGCCAGCTTCCCAGCCAATCAGCAAGGAGCCGGCTGTTGGGGCGGCTCAAAGCAGATTGGCCGGGAATCTGGCTTCCTGGCAAATCTGCATGGAACCGGTTTCCCGGCCAATCAGAAAGCCGGGAGGCGGGTCATTACTTGACGCCCAGCTTCCTCATCGCAGGTTAAGCTGGCTCCATGTTCCCCTATGCACTCAGGGGAAGGTATTGGAGCATTTGGGCGAGTGGCACTGATACTAGTAATGACCTATAAAAGGTTTCCTTTCTGAATAAAACTGGATGCTCACTTCAGTTTGATTGACATGGTATTTGTAGGGTTCATGTGCCTACCTGTATTTCTGGAACAATAGGCCCTTTTTCAGAACACGAGCTGGCAAACGCCGTGAGCGGGGCTGGAGACAGCACGGGATTGGGACGGGCGAAACTGCTCAGGTCACAACTGGAGATCTCATTCTCCTCATGACGCATGGTGATGGTTTCCATGACGAAGAAGCGATCCCAAGGTAACCAGAGGGTGTGTTCCTGCGTGATGAAGGGCGCTCGCTCAAAACGTAGCGTGGCGGAGATGCCACCGTGGGTGACCAGATCAAAGCTACAGAGAAAAACAGACACAACAATACATAAAATAAACATTAATATACCAAGAAAAAAACCTCATATCACTCACAATAATAAAAAAAAAAGAAACAGGCAACATTTGTATGTTATTCTTATTGACTTCTATATATTTTACAATGCAATTTTTTTTAATTTACAAGATTAGTTTAATGCTAAACTCCAGACTTGCACAGTTGTACATGCTCCTCTCCTGTACTGAAATTGCTTACTCTGGATAACTCTAAGGTTTGAATCAAAGCTCCCAATAGGTGAGGTCATGTGATATTTTCCTTGGTTTTAGGTTACTTTAGGGAGGAGCAGTTTTTTTTTATTTTTTTATTCCATAATTATGATCTGGAATTGTGTGTAGATTAAGCAATTTTAAGTGGAAATTGTATATACTTTCCTTTTATGCACATTATAAAATGTTGTGGACACCTGACAATCACATCTTTACGATCATATGTATCAAAAAGGAAAGGAAAAGTTGGGGTTTTGGAGGCGTAGAAATGACAACTCCAGAGAAATAATGAACCGTAAAAAAATGAGTTTTAATGTTGATAATAGTTTAAAATAGAGGTAGTATATAGCATAAAAATGAACAGCTGATTAGATTACTCCCTATGTGCTCACTCCATTCAACCTTCCATTATAGATGTACATAATAGACATTAGTCAAGGCAATGCATAATAGGCAAAAGAAAAAAGGGCATAGGCTGATAATGATTTTAGCAATAAAGCATCCCACAGTACATAATGGAAAATGGTATGGTTGATAGTGGAGCAGCGGCTACTCAACGTTTCGGGCACACAGCCGCTTCTTCAGGAGAAGGGAAAATCATTATTACAAGCTGACATGTATGTGTCCTAGGGAACCATCCGGGCACCACACCCATATAGTCCTTCCTGATGATGACAGGGACGGAGCAGGGGCCAATCCCCAATATTGAGTCGGAGGTAGGCAAAACACTGGCACATAGATGTTTGCAGATCAGCAGATTGCTGAACCACCAGGGGAAGCAGAGAGAGCGACCAAAAACGCCCGTCCCCACCACCGATACACACAGCCTCCTCCACGTACCCCCAAGCCGCCCGCAATCAGTGCCGTCGCCCCAGGACTGCACTTTTTGATACTTCTTGTCATAGGGGTGTGGCATCTATAACCCAGATCCAGGCAAACCCTCTTCAATTCATCTTTACGATCATGTTGGATATCTTATTCCAAAGCCATGGCCATTAATATGGACATGCACCTCCCTTTAAGGCTAGAGCTGCCTCCATTCTTCTGGGAAGGCTTTCTACAAGATTGCAATTGGCGTACCAAGTCACTCTGAAGGTGTTCAATAGGGTTGAGGCCAGGACTATGTGCAGGCTACTACAGTTCCTCCACACCAAACCCATCAAGCCATGTCTTTATGGAGCTGGTTTTGTACACACGGGAACAGTCATGCTGGAACAGAGACTTCCGCAAGCTGTTGCCACAAATATGAAAGGGCACAATTGTCTAAAATATTACATAACCTTTGTATTCTTATTTACCAGATGATTTTAAAAAGAAAAGAAAAACATAGTCCCATTGCAATAATACAATAGGAACCACTCAGTAATGATCAGACATAATCCTCCCCCTTCCATCATTGTACAAGACTCCCGGAGAGACCTCAAACAAATGCATTCACGGTGTGATAACTTATTTATGTTGATTGCTCCCAGATGTTTCCCTATCCCTTCTTTGTCACATAAATCTCCTTCTTTGACAGTTTTACACGACTCTTCTCGTATGCATTTCCATTAATTTTGCTCCTTTCCTGTTTCCTGAGAGAAGTCTGTTTGGTACGCTAAGTTTCAATGCACTACTGTCTCTGGATCAGTAAGTCCTACAAGTGATGGGCACAATGTGGACATTGATGAACCCAGAGGACAACCTGGTATTTGCTTTTCCTCTACAGTTAGAGGACCCCAAAATGGTCACCAGGACAAAAGGGAGTGAATCTCCACACTGGGAGCAATAAAAAGAGACAGGTTCTAACCCTTCACTATTTTATTTAGAACTGAAAAAAAAGGTTTGGCTAAAGATGCACTTTAAATTCACATTGCACTGTGGTTCAAGTTTGTTTTTGGGAGTGGTGAATTCGGAGGGAGGTAGCATGTACTAGTGGCTGAAGTGGGTACAGCGGAGGACATAGGAGCGGCACTGCATCCAAGCTGCATGGAGGTAGGGAATCTGCTATGTCTAGGAATCAGGGGATAAATGTAGCCATTTTTTTTACTACATCATATGTAAGTGTAGCGCTCACCCTCGAAGGAGCCGTCAGAATAACTCGGGTCATCACTAGTCTGTCTAGGGGATTTGGTCTTCAGCTGCCCCATAAGCATTTAAACAGGCCTCTCCTAGTGCCCACAAAGCTGATGTTCACTCCAGTAATGCCATGCTGAATAACTTTTATTAACATCTTCATACTGGGGAGAGAGGGTATAGAGATCCTAGACATCCAGGGGGTAACAGACATAGACTCCAGACCTTTGTTAGCATCTCAGTGTAGATCCATTGGTAATACAGTGAATAGTAATTGGAGTAACAGATGAGCAGGTGATGAGTACAGATGCTCAGCAGGAGAGACACCAGCCATGCTCTAGAGGTCCTCTAGGTTCCAGGCACCTCCAGCAGACATTGGGTTCTCTGGTTCTCCTCCTCTGGCAACAGCCCCGGCCTCCTCCATACTGGAGGCTTAGGGAAACACTTCCCAGCCTCTGCCCACCCCCAGGCCTAGCCAGGGGGGTGGCTGGACAGTACCCAGACCTAATCCATGGCTGGTCCCGAATAGTCTGAGCACATGGAAATTCCCTCCAATATATGTACCCCCATCCCAGCATGCACCACTGGTTGAGAGGAACCCAGTGATTGGCTGCTGCACTGTACATACACTTAAAGTGTCCTTCATTGGCTGTCCTACAATACAGCAGAGTCACACTCCACCCAGGGGGGTAAGGGCAATGCCAGACACCTGGAATTAATCAGATAACTGCCACTATAATCCAGCCAGGCTGACTACAGCTCTGGAAATCACTAAATGTCTAGTAGACACTTCACAAAAGGTGACGTGGGCCACATAAGTATGTTCATTCAGTTCTATTTTAGTTTATGAGGAGCAGGATCTCGTCTGCTCGTTTATAGGGAATGCGCAGTAAATACTTTGATGATGTTACATTAGTTGATTGTGAAGACGTGGTACATATTTAAGATATAATTATATACTGTATGTAGTAAGAATATGTTTATTAAACTTGATCCACATGTTGCAGTGAAAGACTACAATCAGACACATAGACAGACCATACAAGTGAAGCTTTTAGCAAGTATTCTCCAGAACAGTCCTGAAGAAGATAAAGTCCGCAAAGCATACTGACCTTCTAAAGGAATAATAAACATAGTATGCTAAATACCGTAATGGTCTCAAAAAATGACTCTATAGGTTGTATATCTTGACTGATGGATTCATCGATTTCGTCCCTGTGTTAAAAACCCCAATAAACACACAGACTGCGCGACATGGATTTTAACGGCCACAGCAGCCCTTTTATGAACCAAACCAACTTTAACAATAATCAACGTAATAAACCAAATAATATACAAATAAATACTCTTAACGACTGTTCATCTGAGAAGGGGTCTTTGGGTGCCCAACAGCCCAAATAAGGCCTCTCCTAACACTCTGCCCATGTCCCCAGCCGCACCCCAACAGCTCGAGGACACTTACTACTCCCAAGTTCCAAGGGGCCAGGACCCACCTACAAATACTGACATCCTTATCCAGGGACTATTCCTCCCCCCAGTCATGTAGCCCCTTCGTTTAGTCTCTTTGGGTCTATCTATATTTTTTAATACCTATCGTGAATTTTAATATTTTGTAATAATAAAATGTGTTCATTTTTATTCCAACAAATATTTGTGTGCAGTAGATCTTTTTGGGAGCTATAGTCAAAGTCCCCTGTTTCTTCTACATATGTGAAAAAGACTAGCTTGATGTAAATGATGTTATCAATGTCTTTGAATGTTTTGGTCTTTAACAAAGAAGTAAAGAAATTTAATGGAGTAAGATCTGAGAGAGATAAAATTACCATTATTATAATCACATAAAATATACACATCAAGTGACCCCCCCGGGCCTCAAAGTTTTATATGTTGTAGTTTCCTTCATCTTTTGTTCTCTAGCAGAATGTTTGACGGGGTTTTTGAATTTGAATACAAGACATTGCACATATTAGATTTTTTTTGCAACTGGGTCTTGGGCCTGTTACTGTAGTACTCTGTAGTTATACATTTATTTTATTGTCGTTTGATGTGTCTGTATAACAGGAGCCCTCCCTCTGCTGGGCGAGCCCCAAGTGTATATATTAGAAATGTATGTGAATATAATAATAGGTAATTACTTCTAGTTCCTTTATTCAAAATTGCTAGCAGGAAATAAGGAGTATTGATCTGAACTTTTGTAGTCTATCATATAGAACAGGGTTAGGCAACCTTGACATTCCAGCTGTGGTCAAAGTACAAATACCACCATGCCTCTGCGAGTCATGCCTGTAGTTGTCAGTCTTTCAATGTCTCATGGAACCTGTGGTTCCAACACAGCTGGAGTGCGGAGGTTGCCTACCCCTGATATAGGAGGACACCTGTTCATTATTCTTATTAATATTTGATCATAACATGCACAATGGTTGCTCACTGTCCCTTTGCACAATGCTAGTCTAGGAGTCATCTAGTCTAGGAGTCATCCAGGGCTGGTTACACACTTAGAATATAATTAGAATTTTAGGACAATTAAAATGTAAAAAAAACAGATCATAAATCTATTTTCCTTGTTGTTCACCAGCTAATGGATGTGGTTGTGGCACCTCCATCTCCTACCCAATCAGAAGCTGCGCTAGGGGCAGTAAAGCACAACCATGTCCATGCCCCCGCATATATCTCAGACCTTGTCTCAAAGTATCACCCTAAACGTCCCCTCCGCTCATCCATTGACCTCCTGCTTTCCAGCTCCCTTGTCCACTCCTCCCATACTCGCCTCCAGGACTTCTCTAGAGTCTCTCCCATCCTATGGAACTCCTTACCCCAACCTGTCCGTCTATCTCCCACCTTGACTGCCTTTAGGTGTTCCCTAAAGACTCATCTCTTCAGGGAAGCCTATGCCACCTCAACCTAACCACTGAACCTTCACATTCTCACATAATTCATTCCCACAGCTACCTCATGTATCATTTCCCCCTCCACTTTTAGATTGTAAGCCCTCAGGGGCAGGGCCCTCCTTACCATCTTGTCTTGAATTGTATTGTAACTGTAATGTCTTCCTTATATTGTAAAGCGCTGCGCAAACTGTTGGCGCTATAT